ACACACACACACACAGCATGTTGTCACACCTCGTCTTCTCCTGTTCTGCTCTTCCTGTGCTCTGTTGTTGGATGACTCCATCTCCCAGCTGCCTCAGTGTCTAAATGCTGCCGTTCTTCCCTCCTCAGGTCCTTTTACCACAGGCTTGAAGAGAAGCTCAGAATGAGAGACTCCTGTTTCAAGAACCTGCCGAACCTGAAGGGTCACCGACCCGAGATGGACGTGGCCCGGGCTTAATGAAGGGTTCACCTGTGATCAAACATCACAGCTCACCTGTGATGTTTGAGGTACATCACAGGTCACCTGTGATGTTTGAGGTACATCACAGCTCACCTGTGATGTTTGATCACAGCTCACCTGTGATCAAACATCACAGCTCACCTGTGATCAAACATCACAGCTCACCTGTGATGTACCTCAAACATCACAGGTCACATGTGATGTACCTCAAACATCACAGGTCACATGTGATGTACCTCAAACATCACAGGTCCCCTGTGATGTACCTCAAACATCACAGGTGACCTGTGATGTACCTCAAACATCACAGGTCCCCTGTGATGTACCTCAAACATCACAGGTCCCCTGTGATGTACCTCAAACATCACAGGTCCCCTGTGATGTACCTCAAACATCACAGGTGAGCTGTGATGTACCTCAAACATCACAGCTCACCTGTGATGTACCTCAAACATCACAGGTCACCTGTGATGTACCTCAAACATCACAGGTGACCTGTGATGTACCTCAAACATCACAGCTCACCTGTGATGTTTGATCACAGGTGACCTGTGATGTTTGAGGTACATCACAGCTCACCTGTGATGTTTGAGGTACATCACAGCTCACCTGTGATGTTTGATCACAGCTCACCTGTGATCAAACATCACAGCTCACCTGTGATCAAACATCACAGCTCACCTGTGATCAAACATCACAGCTCACCTGTGATGTACCTCAAACATCACAGATGACCTGTGATGTACCTCAAACATCACAGGTGAGCTGTGATGTTTGAGGTACATCACAGCTCATGTTTGAACTCTAATCATTAGACATTTGACTTCTGACTTCCTGATTTCTTATTGTCATTTAGAAATATTTAGGATAAAGATCATTTTTCAATCAACCAAGTCGAGTGTGAACACAGTGAAACACACACTCTGGTAGAAACAGAACTGTGAACAAAGACCTAGAACACATAGAAGCTGTTTGCTCTCAGGCTATCTTAGTGTCGGCACATGGACGGAGCTACATCCTGTTTTTATGTCTGTTCAAAAGAAAGAAAGGATTCTGTGAACTGGTGTGTGTGTGTGTGTGTGTGTGTGTGTGTGTGTGTGTGTGGGCAGTTTGCAGCAGTGGACGAGAGAATGAAATAAAGGAAACGGGAAGGAAATGACAAAGACTGCTCTGTGAAACTGCCACTCTCTCCTTATCCTCTCACATGGAACCAATGACACATCAGTACACACACACACACACACACACACACACACACACACCAACAGTGTTGATGTCGTTAATGCAGCTGTAATAAACAGGATCTGAGACATTATGGAGAAAAAGGAAAAGAATCTGTAGAGGAAAAAACTACAAACATCAAATGTTTCCCTTGAACTTGAACTCATTTAAATGTTGTTGTTGTTTTAATGTGTGTGTGTGAGGTGAAAAGAACACACACACACACACACCTGGATCACCAACGAGTCTGAACGACTCGAACCCTAATGGTTTTGACAACATTTATCAGGAGTACAAAACAAGAGAGGAAGGTCAGAGGTCATCAGAAGGTCAGAGGTCACCGTGTGTGTGTCTCCTTCCCCACTGTTGAATAATCCTATGGATATGTACTTGTTACTGCTGTTACTGTTGTTACTACTGTTGCTGTTACTGCTGTTACTGCTGTTACTGCTGTTACTGTTACTACTGTTGCTGCTGCTGTTACTACTGTTACTACTGTTACTGCTGTTACTACTGTTACTACTGTTACTGCTGCTGCTGTTACAGTTACTGTTACTACTGTTACTGCTGCTGTTACTGTTACTGTTACTACTGTTACTGTTGTTACTACTGTTGCTGTTACTGTTACTACTGTTGCTGTTACTGCTGTTACTGCTGTTACTGTTACTGTTACTACTGTTACTGTTGCTGCTGTTACTGCTGCTGCTGCTGCTGTTACTACTGCTGTTACTGCTGCTGTTACTGCTGCTGCTGTTACTGTTACTGCTGTTACTGCTGCTGCTGTTACAGTTACTGTTACTACTGTTACTGTTGTTACTGCTCTTACTGTTACTGTTACTGGATTGGATTGTTGTACACCTGCACCAGTGTACTTATAAAGTACTTCAACTACTACTGCTTTTTAAAATACCTTATTTTATCCTGAGGTTTTAGTTTTGGTGTTCCTCAAACTGGGGGTTGGGGCACAATTCTTTGTCCAAATGTTAGGAGTACATGGCACAAAAATAAAAATAAAAAAGTACTGTATCCCATTACTTTTAACATAACACTGCAGTAGTGCAGTGCAGTAGTGCAGTGCAGTAGTGCAGTGGAGTAGTGCAGTGCAGTAGTGCAGTGCAGTAGTGCAGTGGGCAGTACGTGCTGCTCTGTGACCAGGTCACACTGAAAATTCAGATTTGATTTTTTTTTTCTTTGTTTTGTTTGGATCAAACCTGAGTGAAGATCATTGGTTACTGAAACACGGTCCAGGTCCAGGTCCAGGTCCAGGTGTGACGGGGGGGGTACTTCCTTTACACAAAATACTCTGAGAGGAAGTAAAAGACGCCACAAACTCAAGCATTGATTCTGTATTAAACTCTCTCCTCCTGCTGGTCACATGACCCTCTCTTCCTTTCTCTGTCTGTTATTATTCCATTTCCTGTCTGTGAGCGGAAAGACCAAAATAACCTGTGGCTGGAATCAATGCTCCTGTGGGGGCAGAGCCTCGGTGTCGGAGCGAGTGGAAAACACCAGCGGCGGCGTCTGAATGGGACCACGGGAAGGTAGAGTTTCATGAGTCTGAGCACAGAGCAGGATCATCACTGGAGGGAGGGGGGGCGGGGGGGGGGCTGGGGGTGTGTGTGTGTGTGTGTGCTGTGAAACAATCCAAATCTTTAATATGCCAAATCAAAGTGAACTATAGATGGATCGTGGTCAGAAAGGTGCAGCTCGTCTACTCATGTCTTAAAACTCTTCAGATTCATGAGCTCATGTAATGATTAACATCCAGATGGATGCTAATGCTAATGCTAATGCTATGTGCTGACTGGACTCTGACACGTCCATAAACACCACAGCTCTAATCACATGGTTCTTGACTGTCATCAGAGGTGTTTATAATTGAAGCCTGTGTTGATTCTGCTCCTCCACCCTGTGGAGCAGTGGTGTTACTCACCTGCCCCCTCTTCTACATCCAGCATCTAATTACAGCATGAAGGGACATGTTGTTGTTGTTGTTGTCGTCTGTGAAGCTTCTACAGTCGGTGTCGTCTGAGTCGACCTTTCTGACTCCTCCACTGTAACTGGAATCAGATCCAACAACAATAACTACAATAACAATAACTACAACAACAACAATAACTACAACAACAATAACAACTCCAACAATAACTACAATAACAACTACAATAATAACTACAATAACAACTCCAACAATAACAACAACTACAACAATAACAACAACACAACAATAACAACAACTCCAACAATAACAACTCCAACAACAAGAGTCTCTGCTGTTTTCCTACTTTTTATAATGCATCACAGACCAGCAGGTTGTGTTGTCCAAAATAAGGCACTGGTGATGAGGTCATTCTGGTGTGTTTGCCTGTGGCATTGTTCCAGCACTGAGTACCAGGTACCAGGTACCAGGTACCAGGTACCAGGTACCAGTTCTGTGTAGGTACCAGAGCAGGTCACAGTGACTGCATAAACAAATAAAAATAGAATTCAATCAAATGAACCTGTGGGGCTGCTGATTGGCTGTTACCATGTGTGTGTGTTCTCCAGCTTCCAGGGTGAGTGTGAACGGCTCGTTGGTTCTTCGTCTGTTCTGTATGACGGACAGTTCGTTTCCTTCTTAAACACCTGAGTGTGTGTTCAAGGACGGTGAACGTGACTTTTTTTTCCCTTTTATCAATCAGAAACTCATCTTCAAACATGTTCTCCGCCCACTGGTCAACAACAAACACTGCAACAAAGTCTGCACGTGTGCCAATGTCCAAGCAGGGGGGGGGGTGGAGGTGTGAGAGGGGGGGGGAGGGGGGGAGAACGTGATTGCTTGTGCCGGACCACAAAAGACTCCGTGACAATGTAGGTCAGAGAGAAATTGTCAATAAATAAATCGAACAGCTGCAGCACGAAGCAGAAACAGCAGTTAGCAGTTAGCAGTTAGCAGTTAGCTGGACTGGACAGTGGCCTGCCTTCCTATTACATTACTGAGGGCTGGACTTATGCTGATGATGATGTCATTTGTTCATCAGGATATAAACCTGACGAACCAGAGCAGATGAAAGGAACAAGTGACGCAGTGACTTCTTCATTATGGTTCAGATTTGACAAGTGGGCGTTAGTTTTGAAGCTGATTAGTTTATCACTGTGTGATGATCTTTTTTTGTTATTATTTAAGTGTGTGTGTATGGACCAGCTGGAGGTGAAAACACACAGTTTGTCTGGATAAGACGTGCCCCCACGTCCTCCTCCCCTGGGGCAACAGTGGGACTGTTTTTATTTTCTCTTCATGTTTTATTCAGACTATTGCTGTCTCTCAGTGATCAACCCTGAAGAAGAAGAAGTTCTTTACTTTAAAACCTTAACTGAACAACGTTTCAAAGTCAGGACTAAAGATCAAAGGCCTAGAATATAAAGGAACAGTTCATAACTAACAGCTGACGTACAGAGACGAGCACATATTTAACTTGTCGTTAACGATGGGCACAATTCTGATCTGAACTCAGCATCTTGAAGATCTTCAAAGAAAGAAGTCTACAGATTAAATCCAGTTTTTCATAACGTCTTTTTTATTGACAATTCTTTGAGGTTCACAAAACAAACCACATTTTATATTATTTAAAAATAACATTTATACCTAAAACATCTTACTTTACATCATGAAACATAGAGGTGTTTTCCTTTTGCACAGCAAAGATATGACATTTATGTTTCAGACAACATGTAGTCAACGTAATACTTCAAAGAACTCCACGAGTGTGCAAAAAAAACAAGACGTCTGGCTGAGGATGCCGGTTCAAAACCTAACAGTAAGACTTGAAAACTAAATATTTTTGGTCATTGTTAGTGTTGTGGACAAAACAGAAAAAAAACACAGCAGTTTCACAGGAGAAACTGTAAAAGGTAAACAAGCTCAGAACAAATCCTCTTAAAGACGTGGACTTAGTGTCGTGTGTCCTGCGCTGCACTGGCAGTTTGCCAGCTCTGATTGGTCCATTTCTAAATGACTTTTCGATCCTAATGGTGTGTTAGCTAGTGGTAGCGGAGGCTAATATAATCCATTGAGGATTACTTGGAGACACGGACGGGACAAACATTCAACTCCCCAACAACGTTGACGACAGAGGAAATGTCCCTAGTGGAGACAACGTGGCTCAGCAACAACAACAGCAACAGCAACAGTGCATCTGACGCTACGATTCTTCAGGCAGTTTCCTGAACCTTCACCTCCCCAAAGCCGTTAGTGAGAGGAGCGGGCTCCTGGCTGCTGTCTATGGAGGAGTCGCTCCCGGTGCTCTCTCCAGACAGCAGCCTGGTGACCCTCAGGTCAGCCTTCAGTGTCTGCACATCGTTTCCTATGCTCATCTCTCCCAGGTCATTAATAATCTGAGTCCACTCCTGTTTGTCGTTTGGAACACAATCACCTCCTGCGTCCAGAACGTCCTCACATTCAAAGTGCATGGCCTTCTCCTCCTCCTCTTCTCCGACTGAGTCCTCTGTAATGGAGCCCAGCTTGGGCGCACTGCGGCTGCGCTCCACCGGGGGTTTGTAGTAACACTGTCCATTCAGCAGCTTCCTGAGAGGGACCAGAGGGATGGTCTGTTCCCCGATGAGCTGCTGCTGCTGGTGCCTGGCGTCGTCTCTGCGTTTCAGTCTTTTGAACTCGGCCAGGGCTGTGGCTGAAGTCTGATACAGCAGCAGAGCCATGGCTTTGGCTTTCTCGGGCCTGGACACCATCACTGCGTGGCAGCGAAGCATCACTGCCTTGTGCTTCATCTCGTGTCTGTAAATCCAAGCGAAGACCTTTGGAAGTCTGGGGTCTGCGACGCAGTAGGTTACCCTGTGCAGCAAATACAAGTGTCCCGGCTTTTTGGCTTTGTCGTCCACGTGGACCATTCTGATGCCCTGGTGGCTGATGGTCAGCCTCATCTTAGTTCCATTCTTGCCCATTTCACTTTTGCCCCAGATCTTGCTCACTGCCACATCTGTGCAGCCGTCCCCCTTGGACTGGATGGTGGTGGCGTTGCCCAGGTACAGCACCGTGTACGTCGGGTCCTCGCTGGTGATCTTCACCTTTTTCCTCTTGGACTTGAACATGCTGCCCACCCTGTTGAGTGCACTCTCAGGGCAGGACTTGGCAAAAGAGGTGAGCGCAGAATAGTTGAGACTCACTGCATAGCCCTTCTGTTTGGACTGCTTGTCTTCCTCGATCAGATCAAACTTGTTCTTCTTCCAAGGCAGCATTTTTTCACTGGGTCCAGTCAACAGCAGCACTGAGAGAGAAATGAAGAAAAAAAAAAAAACTTTTAAAAAGTGTCTATTTCCAGATCAAGTATTTACTTGTTGTCACATAGTCTCGGAGCTACTCTACGGGAACTGCGTACAAAGACCTCATACTTTCTACGTCCGGCCTGAGAAGAGCCGTGGTCCATGGTGCTGAGTCCTGGAGGTTCAGTGTGTAGAGACGCTGCTGAGCCGAGCCGAGCTGCGGTCTTTATACCCGGGGTGAAACCAATGCAGTTTCACTGTAGGGGGGGGGGTGGACCGAACCAAACGGCAGTGACGACAGCACTGTGTACATGAAGGAACGACACTGATCTGGATGTTTGTGTCTTTTTCGGTCTCGGCTCAACAGCTTTGCATGTAATAATAGTTACAATTAAACTATATGTAAAATAATATTATTAAAATCATTATTTTAATTAAAGAACATAAATCGTACACAACATTTATTTATGTGTGTTATCTTCTTTAGAATCTTACATCGTGAAAAATGATTAACATTACCCTTAAACAAAGTCATTTTTATATTAAATTATAGATTTACTCTTAACGTACAAATATAAACGCAGAGTTGTTAAAGACCTTAACCCACCATGTAGAGTTTAAGGCTGCCACCTTCTGGTTTACAAGGCGCAACTCCTCCTTGCCCTGCTCCCTATAGTATTATTTATTTAAATGGTTCTGTTTTCAATTTGAGTTCAGAGAAAATATACAATCTTTAAAAAAAAACAGTTTGTACGACCTCATTATATATGTAACTATTGCGCTTACACATGTGTCAATATAGATAAATACAGCATTAAAAAAAAGCACACGTGTCGCCACTGACTGTTTTAGTTTGAACGGTAACTAACGGTTAGGGTTAGAAACAGTGGGAATGTTTGTAAAAGCACGGGTCCATATTTTATTAGTGTATTTTATTTCTTTATTTATCTTTGTTTTATTGTTTTAAAAAAATTGGGAGCCGTTTGTTGTGCGGACCGATATATTGGCAAGAACCTAGTTTTACGGGGAGCGCTTTTATAACCGGACAGAATAAACCGAGTCCATTAATACTAAACAGAATGCTTTCACGCGCTACTGTGCACCTATTAGTTACTAGTGATGTATGAACCTTGTGTTGTCATAGATAAAAATGTATTTTTTTGTCCTACATTTTCCTTGTCCTCAGGAAGTGCGTCTCTGGTTGGTTTAATCCACTTCCGGTCTGACTACAAATACGTAATGCACATGGGACGGCATAGTTAGACGCAGATAACGTGTGTTTTCACTTTTACAAATAACTAATTAATACGAGATTAAGAGAACAACTTTGAAAAAGTTTCAGAAAGTCATCGCTATGGGCAAGAAGAAGACCGGCGGAGGAGTCGGACTGGGGCGAGCTCTTATGAAGGACAAACTCCAAGCAAACCGAGGAATAAATAAGAGAGGAGACTCATGGGTATGACTGCTGCTGTTGTACAACTGTTGATCACATCTGCACTTAGACCTAGACCTGGTTGTGACTAAAACATTTCAGTAAACACTGTAATATAGATTGTGAAGCTAAAGTCGTAACGCGTTTTTAATGTTAATCATTTTAATGCTGTCAATTCAGATGCCACACAATGTGAACCCTTTAACGTGAAAATATGGATGTTGAATATTATTTTCCTCACCATAAAGATAAAAATGTATGTTTCCATTTTCCTTGGTTATAGCTTCACACCAGTGAACTTAACGATGGCTACGACTGGGGGCGGCTGAACCTGCAGTCCGTGACAGAACAGAGTTCCATGGATGACTTTTTGGCGACAGCTGAGTTGGCAGGAACAGAGTTTGTTGCAGGTTTGTTGTATGTATGTATGTGTACCCGTGGTATAACTGGGCCTGGATTTAAATTCTCACAAGTGTCATTTCTTTTCTAAGAGTTTTGCGTTGTGTTGTCATTTTGGGATCCATACTTATTGGTTCTGAAGTGCTGAGACCGTGAACCGTGTCTTTTCACAGAGAAACTCAACATAAAGTTTGTACCAGCGGAAGCACGAGCCGGTCTGTTAACAGCTGAGGAGAAAACCAAACTGAAGAAACTACATGAAGACAATCAGCATTTTCTCAGGATTCCTCGACGGTAAACAAACAACGTGGATCTATTCCCAAAACGTGTATTAATGGCTGTAGTTTCAGTGGTGGTCAGTTGGTTTGTGTTTTTGTTTTTGTTTTCCAGACCTCACTGGGATGAAACCACCAGCCCAGAATCACTTCAGCAGACAGAGAAAGACAGCTTCTTAGAGTGGCGACGGGATCTTGCCAGGTACATCACAGTGTCACGTCACGTTTGTTTACTCTGAGCGGTGTCACGTCATGTCACGTCACGTTTGTTTACTCTGAGCATTTGTTTCAAAGAGTCATTCACGCCTCACTACGTGTATATTAACAAAGGTTGGAGGAAGAACAGAAGCTGATTCTTACTCCGTTTGAGAGGAATCTGGAGTTCTGGAGACAACTGTGGAGAGTGATCGAGAGGAGGTAGAGACAGAGACAGACAGAGACAGAGACATCTCTGGAGACATCTCTGGAGACATCTCTGGAGACATCTCTGGAGACTCTGATGTCAACGTACAACTCATACAAGTCACAGACTCTAATGTCAACGTACAACTCATACAAGTCACGACTTTGTTTTGCTTTTAGTGATGTTGTGGTTCAGATCGTTGATGCCAGGAACCCTCTGCTGTTCCGATGTCCTGATTTGGTAAGAACATATTATTATTGAACTAAAAACAGAGACTTTTACTCAGAGTACGCGGTCACTGTTTTAGCCAGAACCAAACACCTGCTCTAAATACTGTATGTCTTGTTGTTGTTTTGATGATTACAGGAGTCGTATGTAACGGAAGTGTCAAAGGATAAAGTCAACATGCTTTTGGTAAACAAGGCAGACTTGTTAACCAGGGAGCAGAGGCAAATGTGGGCCAAACATTTTGAAAAAGAGGGACTGAGGGCAGTTTTCTGGTCGGCCCTGGCTGAGAGCAACAGACTGGAGGCAGAAGAAAAGGTGAGGAAACGTTTGAGTCTGCAGTGAAGACTTTAGAGAGAAACTCTTCATAAGTGAGTTTCAAATGTTTACCTGGTTATATATATGTGTGTGTGTGTGTAAACTTTTAAGACTTCTCTGCCAACAGGGCGTGGAGGTGGAGAATCCAGAAGGTGGCGCCAGTGACACAGAAGAGAAAGGGCCAGTGAATGACGATGAAGGCAGTGGCACCGATGAGGAGGAGCCTGAAATGATAAGTGTCGATGAAGAGGAGTGGTTTACCTGCTCCGAAAATGAGGATGATGAAGAGGGAGGAAGGCCTGATGGTTCCTTTCACAACTCCAGCCGTCTGCTGCGTAAAGATGAGCTTCTGGAAATGTTTAAAGCTGTTCACAACGGACCCACGTGTAAAGAAGGACAACTCACAGTGGGCCTGGTGAGTCCCTCGGTCCAACGACACTGCAAGAAGCTAATGCTCACAAACGGTGGTTAAATGTTAAATGTTAGCTTTGGGGCAGTTACAACATCGGTTCTCAGAACTTTAAAATTAAAATGAGTCTTAAAAATGTTGATGTAAAAATGTTAGCTAAAAGTTGGTGCTTTTTACCCACATGGTGGCGCCAGTCCTAGGTTAGAGTAATCTAGAGTAACGGACTGTAACAAAATGTCAGCATGAATTAATAAGGTGTTAAGGTAATAATATGGTCTAAGATCAGTCTGTAGAGTTTGAAGGTCAAGGGTCAGGCTCCAGGCGACAGCGGTGGCTCACCGTGTGATTCTTCCAGGTGGGGTATCCTAATGTGGGCAAGAGTTCCACCATCAACACTATTCTAAGAAACAAGAAAGTCTCCGTTTCAGCCACTCCCGGTCACACCAAACACTTCCAGGTACGGAGCGTCTCAGTGATCAGTGGCAGTCAACACACACTCAGCCACCGTCTGACGCTTTGTCTGTCTCCACCTGTGTTGCAGACCCTGTATGTGGAGCCGGGCCTGTGCCTCTGTGACTGCCCCGGTCTGGTCATGCCCTCCTTTGTCTCCACCAAGGCTGAGATGATCTGCTGTGGAATTCTGCCCATTGATCAAATGAGAGACCACGTTCCTGCAGTTTCGCTCATATCCTCCACTAACTACCACGTCAACATGAGACTTTGTTGTTGTGTCACTTCCTCTTCCTCTAACTGTCGTTAGAGCAGCACTCGTTATGGTTTTGATGACGTCCTTAACAGCTGTGATACGTGTGTCAGACGATCCCCCGACACGTGTTTGAAGGCACCTACGGCATTATCATAATTCGACCGAGGGAGGACGAGGACCCCGACAGGCCCCCCACCTCTGAGGAGCTCCTCATGGCTTATGGATGTAAGAACGACGGTGGTTTTTTAATCTGAGCCTCGGCAGAATCACCTTCTCACAGTTCTTTAACTACATGTATTTATGTTCAACATTTTCTGACTTTGTATTTACATATTTCACATTTGGAAACACTGAATGTTGACGTCGGTGTCTCTCCTCTGACTAGACATGAGAGGCTTTATGACGTCACACGGTCAGCCTGACCAGTCCAGATCAGCACGCTACATCCTGAAGGATTACGTCAACGTACGGGTTGTTGTTCTTGTTGCTGCGTCACGTGGCTGTTGGTGAAGTTTCCGTTTGTTGTTGATGTGTGTGTGTGTGTGTGTGTGGTGTCTTTCGTCTCAGGGTAAGCTCCTGTACTGCACCCCTCCTCCACACATCCACCCTGAAGACTTCCAGCCGCAGCACAGACGCTTCCAGAAGAGAGGCCTGGAGGACTGCAGCCTCTCCACAGTGACACAGAAACAACTGAAGATAAAAAGAATTGAAAACACAGTTGACACTCATTTCTTCCATCAGGTAAAGTATCGTGACAACAACTCAAACTCTGAACTAAAACTGTGAACTGTATTTTAGGCCAGTAGGTGTCAGTAAATTGCCATACTAGCTCCATGTGTTGTGTCTGTCTTTAGGAGAACGTCCGAGCGTTGTCCAGGGGGGTTCAGTCTGTCATGGGTTATAAACCAGGCAGTGGACCAGTTGGAGCAGCGACCCCTGTGGCAGAGATGGGGAAGCCGTGGAAGAAGCACGGGAACAGGAACAAGAAGGAGAAAGTCCGCCGTGTCAACAAACACCTGGATGCCTGAAAGTGTTTCTCCTCTCAGTGTAAAATCTTCACCTTCTAACTGTAAAATAATTAAACTTTACATTGATTTAATTGGAATAGAAGCTGAGTGATGTTTCTGTTATAGTTCAGATGAAGTTATTCTGACCTCTGACCTAGTATTAACTAAACCTCTCATTAGTTTGAAGTTTAACTAAACTAAACCTCTCATTAGTTTGAAGTTTTACCTTTGAAAAAAATCAAAGGATTATTCACTATTAGAAAATACACTTTCCTCAGTAATTCTCATTCATATCTAAATATCACTTTCTCATAACTTTTTATCTTAAATGTAGTTCAGATTATTGTATCAACTTTAATGATCAAATATTATATAAAGAGATTTGTGTTGTTTTATGTTTACAGCTATCCATCGTTTACATCATGACGTTGACGTCATCGAACTGTATCTAAAATAACTCCACATCTTCATTCGAACGCCGTCTCTCTCAGGTTTTCTGGCTTCGGGGTTTTTTCTCTAGAACTGCAGAAGCGTCACCGTTTCCTCCTCCAACTGTTAGCTAAAACGTAAAGCTACATGTTAAACAACAACAGGTGAAAGAAAATGGGCCTGAAGAAATTCCCTAAAAGCTAAAATGGCAGTCTGAAATAAGTTAGCCAAGAGCACAGCTAAATGCTAACCTGGAGCAGACTAAAGATTCAGATTCAGAAGAAACTAAAAGTTAGCCCAAAAAAGGCTAAATGAAAAAACCTAAGAAAGGGGGTTTACTAAAAGGTAGCCAAGAACACAGCTAAAGGTTAGAAGAAAAGTTAGACAGATGCTACAGATGCTACAGCAACATACTGTTCTTGTCTTAAACAAATAAAGACAGACTAAGACAAGAGGACAGGTCACCTAAGGTCACCTGATGACAAAACATTAGTTATGAAAAAAGTTTGAGATGTTTTATTCATACAGTGAAAGGACATGATTTTCTGTTGATTCTAATATTCCCCAGCAGGTGGGGGTATTAATCATTATTTTTATTATTATTATTTACTATTCAATAAGCCATTTAATTACAGCAGAATTACGTGTACATTTAATACATAACACATGAGTGCATTTCATGACGTACAATAAAAGTGCTATTCTGCAGTTCTCCTAATTGTCCAGTAGATGGGAGTGTCACACACGTGGTTTCCTCTCGCCATAACACCCAGGTGAAGAAGCAGTCTGTGACGTCATACGAGTGTGGGGGCGGGGACTTCCGGGTTGTGTGAACTTTTTCTGTAAACAAAACAGTAGTTAGACTTAACGCGACGTGTCTGTGTCGGTGCCGCGGCCTCCGACCTCCTCTCAGCCGTTCGACATGATTCTCTGCTGCCTCTCAGCGCTTCTCCTCCCGCTTGGCTTCATCTCCGTCTCTGCTGCGGTGGATGAGATCAAACCCGCCGTCACCACCGCCGCGGCTTTGACCAACTCCAGCGGCGTCAACACGACCCAGAGCGGCGGGACGAGTCCCGGAGGACTGTTCACCGGCCTCGGCGTGGACAGCTCCATGATCCAGCGGGCGCTCTATGTCCTGATCGGCTTCACCATGATCGGTCTGCTCTACTTCCTCATCCGAGCCGTCAGGTAAGAGCTGGAGGACGAGCTCGGTGTCACAGCTGTTGTCGGTCCACAACCTCCGCTCAAAGTTGTTTCAAAACCCAGGAGCCGAGCTAAAGGAAGCCGTGGGTTCGGTTTAATCGGATAATAACTGACATATAACACAGTATTACTAGCTGAAAACACTTGTAAAACTACAACGAAATAGCTACAAGTTAGCCAGGATTAGCTACAAGTTAGCCAAGAAGATGTTTAGTCAACTGGGCTTATAACAGGTGGCGTCCAGTTCTCTAACGTTAGCTTAGAAGACAGTTAGCCCAGAAAACAAGTGAAACAATAATGCTAGCTAATTGTTAGCCATGGCTAGGGCTAAACAGTAGCTTTTCATGCCATTAGTCCAGACCAGAGTGTTGAACAGTACTTTTGAAATCGGCCACGAACACACACACACACACACACACAGTTGTGTGTAAATATTGACTCCTCGACAGGTTCGTCACTTTTCCTCCGTCACCAAACTGTTAGTCTCTTTATAGATAGATTATAGTGTCAAAGGTTAGCTAATTAAATGTTAGCTTGTTTGGGCGACAATGGGATGAAGTAATAATAAAAAACATGGAATCCTCGGTTTCTGACGTCCTCGTCCTACGTGGTTTCGCCGTCACAGCGCCCCCTGTATATAAACGTCTTTAGAATGTCTCGTTCACTCTGCCGCTGTTACACCAGGGCTTTTAAAACTTTTTGCCCCTCATTAAAGCTCACCTGCACAATTCTGTGAATTCTGTGATGGTCAGTACTGCTCCCGGCCAACAGGTTTTGTTTTCCTTCATATTTTATTTTTCATCTGGTCGTGACCCACAGTCCGGCCTGGCCCCCACGTCAGTGACCCAATTGGAAACTTTGGGTTTGGTTCCGCACCTGAATATAGTCTTCATCAAGTGATGATCGGTACTGTTTGGAAATCAGTTCCAGGTTTTTGTTTTTTTAATTGGAAACTTTGGGTTTGTGAATTTAACAGTTGGTAAAATGTGTGTGTGTGTGTGTGTGCGCACCATGACGATGTCACTGATGTAAACGATGATGTCATCAGGTTGAAGAAGCCCATGCAGAGAAAGAAGTACGGTCTGCTGCTCAGTGACTCAGTGGAGATGGAGGCGGTGGACAGTGACGAGGACGACACGCTGTTTGAAGCCCGGAGCCTCAACAGGTCAGAGGTCAAAGGTCCAGCACCACAGCAAGGCATTACACTGAGTAGAGTTTGATTCTCAACTCTTTATTAGCCTAGAAAACACTAAATGTTAGCCACAGCATAGATACTGTATGTAACAGTAGAGTTAGCGTTAAAGTTAGCCTTGAAACAGCTACAAAGTTAGCATGTAGCATGGGCGCAGATTTCTGTTTATGTTGGTGGGCGATGGCTGTGCGTGGGTGTTTCAGGGTCGGCACCTCCGGCCTGTAGGGATCGTTGTCCATGTATAAGCTCAATGCTAACGTCCAGTTAAAACTACTCTGATTACTACAGTTACTACTCATACATTCTTAACAAGTTAGCCACACCACAATCCAAACCTCGGCTAACTTTTCGTTTTCAAAAGCTTAGCCATAACATGTAGTAAACCTCGGCTAACTTTTCAAAAGCTTAGCCATAACATGTA